GAGTTCCAGTGAGAAAAGAGAAAGAAATCAGAAGCTTAAGGATGGTAGGACAGTTTTTCTTCTAAAAATTATTTTTATTACATTTATTTATTTGTGTGTGCACATGAATGAATGTGCATGCGGAGGTCAGAGAACAACTTAGAGAAATCAATCCCATTCTTCCACCATGTGGGTCCCTGGGTCATCAGGCTTATTATCCTTTGGGTCATCTCTCTGATCCTGGGTAGTATTTCAAAAGACTATTTGGGGCAATCCTAAGAAATTCTAAGAATTTATTCAACACTCGTAGTAGCAGCTAGGGAAGATATAGCAGAAGGCAAGTGTTCTGTCGAAGTTGTGAAAATTGTGTAAGAGGTTATGTAAATTTAGCCTTAAAGCAAATCCCTTAATGCCTTTCCTCCTCCACTGCAGGGTAACTGTTGTACCATAAGTGACCTGATACAGAACTCTTGGCACTTTTTCCACTGAAGTGAGAGTAGGAGAGTGAATTAGGTTATTTAAACACGTGCTATTTACAGCAATGCATCTTTTCATGTTGTTTGAGAAACTAGAGGTTTTAAAGTATTGTCATTGTGAAGAAAGTATGACTTTTGGAGCTTCCATTCTGGAGGTCCAGGGAGGGGAGAAAGGAGAAAAGAGGGAGAGGAGAAGAGAGAAGGAGGGAAGGAAAGAGAGACACATTCATACATACACATATATACACACACACATACAGAGAGAGAGAGAGAGAGAGAGAGAGAGAGAGAGAGAGAGAGGGGGAGAAAGAGGTGGAGGGAGAGAGGACAGAGTGAAAGAGAGGGAGAGAGGGAGTGTACTGGCTAGTTATGTCAACTTGACACAAGATATAGTCATCTGAGAGGAAGGAACCTCAATTGAGAAAAATGCTTCCATAAAATCAGGCTGTAGGCATACCTGTAAGACATTTTTTAAATTAGTGATTTATGTGGGAAGTTCCATCCCATTTTGGATGGGACCACCCTAGGCAGATGGTCCTGAGTCAGAAAGCAGGCTGAGCAAGCTAGGGAAAATAAGCCAGGAAGCAGTGCCCATCCATGGCCTCTGCATCAGCTCCGGTCTCCAGAATCCTGCCTTGTTTGAGTTCCTGTCCTGACTTCCTTCAGTAATGAACTGTGATATGGAAACTGAAGCCAAACAAACCTTTTCCTCCACAACTTGCTTTTCAGTCATGGTGTTTCATCACAGCAATAGTATTCTTAACAAGGACGGGGAAGGACAGAAGAGAGAGGAAGAGAGGGGGAGGGAGAGGAAAGGGAGGAGAGGAGGGTTGTAGTTTGAATAAAAATGGCCCCATAGGCCCATAAGGAGTGCCACTATTAGGAGGTGTAGCCTTGTGGAAGTAGGTGGTATAGCCTGTTGGAGGAAGTGTGGCTCACAGTCTCTCTTCCTGCTGTCTTAGAATCCAGATGTAGAACTCAGCTTCTTCTCCAGCACCATGTCTTTGTTTGCCTTTGTGCTGCCATGCTTCCTGTCATGATGTTAATGGATAAACCTCAGAACTGTAAGCCAGCCCCAATTAAATGTTTTCTTTATAGGAGTTGCCATTGCCATGGTGTCTCTTCACAGCAATAGAAACCATAAGACAGGGAGGGAGGGAGAGAGAAAGAGGGCATAGAAAGGGGAGAAAGGAGAGTAGTGGATGAGGGAAGAGAGAGGGGGAGAGGAGGAAGAGATGGAGGGGAAGTGAAGGAGAGGAAGGTAAAAGAGAGAAGAGGGGAGAAAGAAGAGAGATGGAGAGGGAAACAGAACAGAGAGAAGAGACAGGAGAGGGGTGAGGGCAGAGGGCCGTAAGGAGAGGTGTGTGTGTGTGTGTGTGTGTGTGTGTGTGTGAGGGGGGGTTCCAGTGTAAATGTTTCAGTGGGTTTGGGTGTTCTAAACTTCCTGTGGCCCTTTAGATCAGGTTTTGTATCTTTCCTGCCCTTGGCTTCTTTTATTAGCTGATATAGAGGTCAAGCTATTTCTTTGGAAACAAGATCCCGTAGAATCCAATAATTTCTAAAACCCCTTGATGTTTAAGTAGTTTTGATAAAGGGAAGGAAGAGATAGAGTGCACACGGTCTTCTTTTAATTCCCTTTCCTTTAAATAGGACCACTCCTAAGTATTTGACTGACACTTGGCACAGTTGGACTTTCTTTTTGGATAATTGTGGCCTCTATCAGGTAAGATTTTGAGGAGTGCTCTAGTTCTTTCTTGGAGATGTTTTCCTGTGGGCACACAAAAGAGGAGTCACTTATATGTTGGATAAAGTCTCACCCCTCATCAGAGAAGCTTCTTTTTGCAGCAGGCAGAAACCATTTAGCCACAAAATGGTCAAAAATTCAATGAACAAAACAACCCCACACAGACTCCTCAGGGAACATATCAGACAAGGGACCAGAAATATAGTAAGAGCCAGAGTGTCTTCTGGGAGATTGTGTCCTTTACATATGACTGGGAAGTTTCACCCATGAAATCCCAACATTATGGTTGCTTAAGCAACACCTGAACATTGACAACACCAATGTGGATGGGGGGAATCTCAGTAGGCCATACCCCTAGATGAAGAGGTACCGACAATTAATGGCTATTGAGAGAGTGAAAACCATCCTTCTTCAGGGACAAACCCCCGATGTTATCTAATCAAAAGTGGTCAACCCTAAACATGTATACATATGAGCAACACTAGATGAACTCAGGTTGGATTATTGTTTACATATAACAATAATTAAAGAAAAAAGAGGCCATGAATTTGAAAGGCGGGGTAGCAGGTTGAAGAGAGGAGAGGGAGAGGATTAGTGATGTAGATACAGTACATATATATGAAATTTACAAAAATAATGTAAAAGGTGATCTTTGAAATATAAAACAGTAAACCACCTGGAATCGTCTGGGATCTGGGCATGGGAGTATATGGTTTGGAAACCACTGAGTGAAGTGGAGTTATAGCTTCACTGATAATTCTGAGGTCTTGGATTAGTCTCCTCTGTCTATTAAGGATTTTCGGGTTTTTTTGTTTTTGTTTTGTTTTTGAGACAAGGTTTCTCTGTCTCTGTGTAGCTCTAGCTGTCCTGGAACTGGCTCTGTAGATCAGGCTGTCCTCAAATTCACAGAGATCCACCTGCCTTTGCCTCCTGAGTGCTGGGATTAAAGGAGTGCGCCACCACACTTTGCCTACTGTTAGGTTTTTTTGAGTCCCAGAATAAGTGTATTACAAGGGCTATTAACATAAAACCTCTAACTGTTGTTTTAGATTGGCTATGATGTTTTGTTAAGCTCTGTGATGCCATTTATACGCATATATTTTTCATATAATATATTCTGGTTACGGTTTCCCCTCCCCAACTCTTCCCAGATGCTCCCCAACTCCCCACTTACTCAGCTCCACTCCCTTTTCTCTCTCTCTCTTTAGAAATAAAAAAAGCAAACAAACCCAGAATTTTTTTTAAAAAGTGCAAGGAACATTCATATAAAGACACAAAAACAAAACCTATAAAAACACAAGATTAGAAACCATAATATACAAGCAAAAGACCAATTGCCGGAACATGGTCCAGGAATGGAATTGTATGAGGAGAATTCCAAGTGCTTGTGAGAAAATTCCAAGAAAACAAGACAAGCCTTGTCCCCTCAGTTTCTTCAAAACTATAAAATTGTTTTTGGGCTGTGCTTTTGAGCCTCTCCCAGGTGTACTGGCTAGGAGTGAATTTACTTCAGATTATTCATTACACCTGGCTATTGCTATTTGTTTATATACATCTATAGAATAAATAAAAGCCATGTGGTTTTGCTTCTGTAAACAAGCTTGGTTGCCCCGATGGCACAAGTTGTATGCGTGCTCACACATAGGAAGAAGGAATGTAGGCAGAAGTATGTCAGAAAGTATGCTTGCCTCTGATCAGACGAAGGCAGAAAGAATGTAGCCATGTGAGGCTTGTCTTTACAAGCCCCTGACTAATGTAATTTGGTGCTATATTCTGAGCATTGGTCTTGGGTAGGGACCTGACCAGTATCCATGGTCCTGGCAAGTATTTAATAAAGCTTCTTTTAAATTTGACTAAAAAATTGTGGTAGTGTTCTTATTCTTGCTTAGTGGGATTAAAATTTTCTGGAGGCCCCAGTGATATCAGGCCAACCTTCAAATTCCAAAGTGGGACCTTCACTTAAGGACTCTGTGACTGAGGGGCCACCTCAGGAGGTGCACACCTTCAGATGTTTCAATGCTTCAGGGTGTGCTTTTGATTTCGCAGATTTACCAGAGGGAGCTACCTTGCTGAGAAAAGCAGCAATCGTCCATGGAGGCCTCCGTTGGTATGTCACAGTAACATTTGGTTCTGTTGGGATCCTGATCTGGGATGATGAGGGGGCTGACAAGACCTAATACTCTCCCATCCAGGGCAAAGAGCGAGACATCTCACTGCCTACCTGAGATTCTTGGTCTAGTTTTGCGTCTTATTTGCTTCATAATTGTATGTGCTGTCTTTAGTTTCATTTTTCCTGTCTCCTTCTCTTGTATTTTCTGTGTTCTGTGTTTACTGGTTTTAGTTTTGCTATCTGTGCCACAGACAGCCATTGCCATTGCCACCACTGCTTGCTTTAGCTGCTTTGATGGCCAGGGCTCAGAATTTATCTCTGAGCTTTCTGGTCACTGGATTCAGTTTAGCAGGGATTCAAATGTCTTTTGGGTGTGGATAATATTAAAATTGTTTTATATTGTTCTACTATGTTGAAAAGCTGGCTCTGGAGTTGGGTTATGGCTCTTCATTCTCTACAGCCAAGCTTGCTTATTTAAAAGTTTCCTCTCTGTCCCATGCTAGGTGATCCACGTGATTTTGTGACAGGGAAATGAGAGCGAAGCAAAACAGCAAAAAAAAAAAAAAAAAAAAAAAAAAAAAAAAAAAACACACCAACTAACAATCTAAGTAACAGAGGAGAGGCTACCTTTAAATGTCCTCTCCTGATAATGAGATTGATGACTAACTTATATGCCATCCTGTAGCCTTAACCCAGCAGCTGGTGGAAGTAGAAGCAGACACCCACAGCTAAACACTGAACTGAACTGAAATCCAGATGCAGAGAAGGAGCACTGATGAGCACAGGGATCCATACCAGGCTGGTGAAACCCACAGAAACAGCTGACCTGAACAAGGGGGAGCTCTTGGTCCCCAGACTGATAGCTGGGAAACTAGCATGGGACTGATCCAGACCCCCTGAATGTAGGTGTCAGTGAGGAGACCTTGGAAATCCATGGTGCCTCTTGTAGTGGATCAGTACTTATCCCTAGCATAGGAACGGACTTTGGGAGCCCATCCCACATGGAGGGATACTCCCTGAGCCTAGACACAAGGGGGTGGGCCTAGACCCTATCCCAAAGGATATGGCAGACTTTTAAGACCCCCTACGGAAGGCCTCACCCTCCCTGGGGAGCAGAAAGGGTATGGGATAGGTAGGGTGTTTGATGGGGGGGGCAGGGGAGGAGGGAAGGGAGAGGGACCTGGGATTGACATGTAAAATAATTTTCTTTCTAATTAAAATAAAAATTAAAAAATTAGATTTGTTTCATTTAACTGCCTAAAACTTTTGCTAAGTTATAAATCTTATAAATCAAAATTTGTAAGTCTATTATGTGATCTTTCTGTACCTCTGAAGGGACCAGCTCCCCATTTAGGCAGCCATGACAGTAACACGTGCTTGTCTGACTTTGCCTTAGTCACTAGAAAGTCAGATCCCTGCCTCGTGGCAAGGAACCAATCAGAAGTTAGCTGGGGCCGCTATGCTTTACGGCTCTGGGGGTGCTTTACGGACAAGGGCACAGCAATGACTCCCAGAGCATAGCAACCGCCCTGGGAGGGCCTATGGGCCATAACAACCAATTGACCAATCAACACAGGGCAAGCCCTCCAAGCCTGGAGGCACACCAATCCTGAGCCTGTGCGTACCCCTAGACACTCCCCTTACACTTACTATAAGATCTCTCTGCAGCCCTTTCGAGCAGTCTTTGCTAGCCATCTGCCATGGCCCGAGCTAACATAGCTCATTAAACAACAATAAAGCCTATGAAGTTTGCAGCAAGTTTTCGAATCTGCCTGGTGATTGGGGTGACCGTGGTCCTGGGCTGGGACCGCAGAGGCCTGAGTTTTCCAGGGGTCTAACACCTCAAGACTTATAAGTTTATTGAGTTTAGATAAAAATCTGCAAAAGCTGTATCAAAACAGTTAACTTAAAACTTGTAACACGGGATTGAGAGTTCAAAATCTGTACATAAATAATTGTAATAAAGGAACCATGCTATGTGATGGCATCTTGGGATGTAAACAACATGTGGCTTGCCACCACCTTAGCTGATGACCCCCATTGGGCAAACACGTGGCTGGCAGCATCTTTACTAAGGTTAGAGAGGATAAATGCCGTGTGACTTCACTACCGTCTTGACTAAAGGTGACTACATGGTATAAACCAATCAAGGAGGCAACAACAGGTTTCCAAGGTAGTTTGGGTTAGGATGGATTTTTGTAGGATAATTCTTGTCCTGAAAACAAAGTTTATGAAAGATAGTATTTAAAAACAATGCTTATTTAGTAAGGTATTAAAGCTGCACCTCCTTGCATTTATATACAAGGATGTACCTCATGCTGGCAGCCAAACTTGGTAGTATAAGAGTCACCCAGGTAGTATTGGTTTTAGAGGTATGAAGGGGCCATGGAGAGCATCTGGGGCTTGGCATTGTGTGGCAGGGCTGGAGTTCCCAAAGAGAGTTCAGGAGAGGGACCCCAGCAGTTTTCTTTAGATGCCAGTGCCTTTAATAGCTACGGTAAACAACAGCCACAATGAAATGGAGCTGGCTGGAGCCTGGAAAGCAGGCTATATATGCTTTCGAGGGTGGAGCTGGAGGCCCTTTTGGGGAGACCAGAGAATGGTGAATGAATCCCAGATATTGAGCATTGAATTGTTTGCACTGTTTGCCTTTGGTTTTGCCTTGTCTAGATTGTCTTTCCTCCCTGTTTCTTCCCTCTTGAAGCAAAAAAAAAAAAAATGTATTCATTTTCTTTTTTGATATCATAGGAACCCACCGTTAGGAAATTTTTAAACTTTTTTAAAGGGAAAATTTGGAGTTAAAACATTAACTTAAAAAACCATACTTTTAAAGAAACAACTTAAAACATTTAAATGTATAAAGCTATGGGACATTTTAAGTTTATAAAATGTTTTATATTATGAGGCCTTTATTAATATGTAATCTTAGAAAATAAATAAACAAAAGCCTAAAGAGTTAGGGTCACAACTATGCGAACCAACACTAAACACTAGAAACTGGGATATTCCTATTTTGTGATGCAGCAAGACAATGACCTATGACCTAAGCAGTCTGGCGAAGAGCCTATAGAATGTCTGTCCTTACCAAAGATCTATACAGGATAACAGAGACTGACTTCAGAATGTTTGTCTAGCCTCTTTGTCTTTACTAACCTTGTTAAACGTTAGCTCTTGATAAACTGAGTCATACAAGAAACTGTGATATTCTGTAATGGTGCATTGTGTAAGGACCAGGACAGTAAGGTTCATAGTTTCTCTATGAATGGTATGGCTTAAAGTTTTATTTTGGTGATATAAGAACTTCAATTCAAAAATTGTTATTTTTTTAGGCTAAACATAACAGGGATAAAAATGAAAATCTGAATCTTATAAAAGCTACTATAAACTTGTTATAAACTTGATAAGTCATGCAAGTTAATAGTTACCTTATATAAATGATCACATTTTCTAATGTGTTCTCATGGTAACTACTAATGAAATTTATTTGCAGGCATAAGCTTTATTTAGCCTCTTGTTTCTATTTTTGAGGTTAACTCTAAAGCAGGAAATGAAAAACAAGTAAAGTTTATTTAAAATCAAGTATACTTAATAGTTGGCCCTCAAAACTTTTCAGAGACCCGCTGAATATGACATTTAAAATATTTAATGGAAAAAGCTTCCTGTGGTAGACAGACATGCCAGCTCCTGGAGATGACCCTAAGGTCTCCAAAGAAGAGAGGTGGGCACAGACCTGCATTGTGATGATGCTAATAACCACTTGGAAAAACTGTCCCATGCCTTACCTGCTGTCAGAGCCAGAACAAACTGTGGACACTGTTGGGTTGACTGCCTGTGGTGATATTTTGTTTATAATCTAACAAAGTTTGCTTGAAGATGCAGAATGCAGAGCTAGTCACACTAGTGGTGGCACACACCTTTCATCTCAGCACTTGGGAGACAGAGACAGACAGATCTCTGTGAGTTGAAGGACACCCTGGGCTGCACGAAATTCATCCAGTCTAAAAGAGAAACAGTTCACACAAAGTATCATCTCAGCATTTGGGATCACACGCCTTTAATCCCAGTACTAGGGAGACAGAAGCAGAGGGATCTCTGTTAGTTCAAGGCCACCCTGGGCTACACGAGATTGAATCTAACAGAGAAACAGAGCTCATACAAAGGTGATCCCAGCCCTTGGGATTACATGCCTTTAATCCCAGCACTAGGGAGGTGGAGACAGGAGTGATGTGGCTGGGCAGAGAGAGGAATGTAAGGAGGGAGGAAACAGGAGAGAGATGCAGTCTAAGGAGCTGTGCAGTCTAAGCAGTCTGAGGACAGGCTCGCCCCTTTGGCCCGAGCATTGGTAGAGGTGAGAACTCTATAGTGGCTGGCTGCTTCTCTGATCTTTTAGCTTTCACCCCGATACCTGGCTGGGATTTTACTAATACCAATTAGAATTCATGCTATGACTGCCCTATTCTGCCTCCTCAAAGTAAGTTTCCCCAGGTTCCTCATCCTCAGAAAAATCTCTCAGACCCTCTAGGTCTGGTAGCCAAAGGCCTATGGTGTCCTGTGTAGCAACAGAAGATACAATATTGTCCTCCTAGCATCACCATCCCTGACTTCAAGCTCTACTATAGAGCCATAGTTCTGAAAACAGCTTGGTATTGGCACAAAAATAGACAGATAGACCAATGGAATCGAATTGAAAACCCTGATATTAACCCATGCACCTACAAACACCTTATTTTTGACAAAGGTGCTAAAAAAATATTGTCCTCCTATATGATAACCAAAGACCTATGACCTCTGTACCCCAAAGAAGCCATCAAGACCACAGGAGCCTACAAGGTAATTGCCCAGGTAAGTCTCTGTCATTTTAATCAATACAGAGGCCATTTGGTTTATACTTCCTGCTATAATTTATCCTTCTCAGATCTCTGAAGGTGTTGATGACTAACTGTAGCTTTGTCAGGTTGGCATCAGCAAGCACCTAACTCCTTTCCCAAGGCTGCAGTTACCTTGTCAGTTCATTACATATGTAAGAAGCAGGACTTGCATTTTCTAGAGCTCCTAGGTCTCCTGCGGAGAAAGGCAGACAGGCTTGCCTTGCTAACATATTAAAGGATAAATGGGTTTCAGGTGTAATTTTTTATTCTTCCTTTATTTAAAGGAACTTGCTTTGCAATGACTGCGCTCAGTAATCAACCACTTGTGTCTAGTGGTAAATAATTGGATTTTAAATGTTTAAAGTTTATATAAATTGTAAAAGTCTAAAAAGTTTAAGATATATAAATGCAAGTTGTAAACATCTGAGGATGTGAAAGCTTAAGAAAATGATTTAAGTTGTGTAAATACAAGTTATAAAGGTATAAGAAAATGATCTACAATGATAAATGTTTCAGATTTCTTTTCCTCTCTATGCTATCATTATACTGAGATTTCAAAAGTTCAGAGTTTTAACATTGGTCAGTGAACTTCTGATAAGCTGATAAAGCACTGTCTATTATTATCAGTCACAAGCTCAAGATTTTAAATTTCCTTTGGTTGTCACCTAAGTATAGACTTAAAGGTGCTTCTCACTGAGCTAAAAAAGTTGAACTTATATCCCTAGTCTATATCTGTCCCAGTAGTTTTCCTTTCAGCTGGTAGACAGCATCCAGAAATTAGTTGTGGACTACAAACTGCTCCAAAGATGTTCTACATCATGCCAGTCCTAGGTAGTCCTACAAAACCAGAGAGCCCTGGACTTGCTGAATGCTGAT